ATTGTATTTCGCGCCTCTTCCTCGAGATCATATGTAGTTTCCCTACTATGCACCGATGTTGCCACCATTTCAAAGTTAAAAACTTTCTAGCTTCCGCTTCCTTCCGGTTCCATTGGTCATTCTTCTATTTTGTGCCGATTAAGCCACACGTGTATTGAAGAGATTCCGAGAAAATGGGAAAGCGGAAAGAAAGAGATTTGTCTTCAGGATCAGAAGATAACGAGGAGTTACGGAAAAGAGTTAGACGTTTAGAAAAGGCATTGAGAAAGGAGAAAGGAGAAAGAGGCCGATCAAAACACAGTAAGCAGAGAGGTTATGTCTCTACATTGACGACGACAATAGAGCATATAGGCGAGGCTCAGGCGTCTTGGTTCAACCAATTCGCCTGGAGAATGTACAAATTGAGCTTCAATTGTACACATAACCTCGCCACGTAATGTCCTACGAGGATTTAACCTCAAGCCTGTCCCGAGGCTGTAGGGCGAAAAAAGGTATGCGTATATGCGGCGGGAATTAGGTGTCTTGGTCCAACCAATTCACCTTAAAAATGCAAGCTCAAGGTTGCAGATATAACACGCATATACGAGACCAGGTGTCTTGGTCCAACCAATTCACCTTGGAAATGTGATTGAAGAAATTCAATTCCATACATAACCTTTTATATATATATATATATATATTCTGTGACCGAGATATAGTCCGTAGTATTTCGGTTCAACCGGGATACTTAAGAAAAGATATACCACCTTGAGATGATAATCAAATTCCTAAAACAATCTGTTTTCTTTTTTAATGGTAACAGGAAGTCGCAAGGAACGTTGTACAAGCAGATCAACATCTCGAGAGGTTAGAAGCGGTCGCGACTATCGTTACAAACGGAAGTATTATACCAATAGACGAAGTCATAGCCGGGATTACTACCCGCATGGTCACCCGTACGACGAGGACGCGGTGGATGATTATGAAGGTGAAAGTCGAGATACGAGGAATCATTCGCTTAGTTCGAGTCCCTCAGGAGGGAACCTGAGTTCACCTGAATCAAAGGAAGGCGAGACTACTCAAAAGGCTCTCGAAAAAACGCCATCCGAGCAACCATCCGGGGGAACAGGCAGTCAAGGAGTTGTAGAATCGGATAACGTTCCGAAAGGAGAAAAAGAGCTCTCGGCAGAGATAGTAAAAATGTTCGGAGAGCGAATAATGCCGGATAGAACTCTAGCACCGCCGGTGCACAAAGATCTGGCAGTCAGATGGGAAGACATAATAAAAAAGGGTCTACCAACTGAGGAACGGAAATCTCTACTGAAGAAACTTCCTCCTCCAGAAAACTGTACCGCAATAGATCCACCAAAGCTTAATTTGGAAGTTAAGTCTGCTCTTGACAATACTATTATTAAGAGAGACGAGCGTATTGTGGAGAAACAAGCAAAAATGACTGCTGCTATTGCTGGGATTGCAAAGGCCTTGAACTCTACGTTGGAAGGAGATCCGGAAAATAAATTGGGCCTTGTAGAACATCTTAGCGATACCGCAAGATTATTAGTAGACTTACAACGTGATGAGACAATGATTCGCAGGAGTCTTATCTTAAAAAACGTCAAGAGCTCATATAGGGATACCCTTAAGGATACTTTATGGGACGAAGAGCTTTTCGGAAAAGGCCTGGCGGAAAAACTCAAAACAACTAAGGTTTTGCAGCAATCGTCAAAGGACTTAAAGAGTGGCGCTAAAGACCAGTCTTGGAATAAAAATTCAAAAAACTCGCGGGGCCCGTCTCGCTGGAATCGATACAAGTCGCACGGTCAATCGAAGGCGAGCGGGCAGAGGCGGACATACAACCAGCGACAGAATCCGTCCTCTCAGGGTCACAGTACCTATCGGAAGCCGGACCAAGTACCAGCGAAGAAGGATTAGAAGTAAGTAAGATCGCAGGTAGACTGGCACAATTTAAGAGTCAATGGTCGTGGTTAACTTCGGATTCAACCATCCTGAGCTGGGTTTCGGGATATAAAATACCGTTTTCATCAAAGGTGAGACAACGCAGATTGCCAAAAGAACCACAATGGTCCGAACAGGAAAGACTACAGATTCGAGAACAAATTACGCAGCTCTTACAGAAGCAAGTCATCACAAAGTGTCAGCCGGTATCTGATCAATTTGTTTCGAAAATTTTTCTTGTTCCTAAACCAAATGGGTCTTATAGATTAATCCTTAATTTGAAAGAACTTAATAAGTTTATCGATACTGAACATTTTAAATTAGAAGACGGAAAAACGGTCAAACGAATATTACATAAAGGTTATTTTATGGCATCAATTGACTTGAAAGACGCGTACTATACAATTCGCATTGCTAGATCAGATAGGAAATATCTAAGGTTCTTGTTTGAAGGTGTCCTTTATGAATTCGAGTGTTTACCCTTCGGGTTAAGCACAGCTCCGTATACCTTTACAAAAATTATGAAACCAGTGATTTCATATTTAAGAGAATTGGGCTATTTTTCTGTTATTTATTTGGACGACTTGTTTCTTCTAGGAAAATCACATGCGGTATGTTCAGAAAATGTACGAGTCACATGTAGCCTTTTGGAGTCGTTAGGATTCATAATAAATAGAGAAAAGAGCAATATGGAGCCAGGGACCAGATGTAGATTTCTTGGTTTTGAATATAATACGATTACAATGGACATTGAGTTACCAGAAGAGAAGAAAGAAAAAATAAGTAAACAGCTTCAAAAATTCAGCTCGGCTACATGTTGTTCTATTCGAGACTTTGCTAGGTTGATAGGAACTTTAGGTTCATGTTGTACAGCGTTGAAATTTGGTTGGGTACACATGAAAGATTTTGAACGAGAAAAGTTTATTGCATTACGAAGAAACAAGGGCAATTTTGAAGCTCGTATGGAACTAAATGACGAATTAAAAGAAGATTTTAACTGGTGGAAAGTACATATTAATGCTGCAAAATGTCCAATTAAAAGTTTTAAACCTGTCCTAGAAATATTCTCAGATGCATCATCCTCAGGCTGGGGTGCTTTTTGCCAAGGCCAACGCGCTCACGGATATTGGAATGATGAAGAAAAGAAATGTCATATTAATTATCTCGAATTATTGGCAGCGTTTTTTGGTCTTAAATGTTTCGCGTCAAAAATCAGTAGCAGCGATATCTTGTTACGTATTGATAATACAACTGCGATCGCGTATATAAACAAAATGGGCGGAATTCAGTTTAAAAAACTGAGCAAGTTGGCAAAACAGATCTGGGGATGGTGCGAAGGGAAGGACCTTTGGATTTTTGCATCATATATACAATCCAAAGAAAATGTTGAAGCAGATTTTGAGTCGAGACGTCTTGAGCCAGAAACGGAGTTTGCATTATCAAATACAGCGTTCCAAACGTTAGCACAGAGGTTTGGGACACCAAATATTGACTTATTTGCATCTCGAACAAATGCGAAATGTTCGCATTATATCTCGTGGGTAAAAGACCCAGAGGCGATAGCTATCGACGCGTTTACAATTGACTGGAAAGCATTTTATTTTTACGCATTTCCTCCGTTCTCGATTATTCTTCGAGTTTTGGAAAAGATGAGGGCGGAAGGGTCAAGAGGTATCGTGGTTGTCCCTAAATGGCCGGCTCAGGCATGGTACCCGGTGTACATGTCAATGTTAGACTCTGAACCTTTTTATTTGAAACCAAATAAATATCTGTTGTGTTCTATCGACAGAAGGCCGCATCCTCTTTGGAAAAGAATTACCCTGGTTGCCGGAGTGCTGTCAGGAAAGCGTTCGAACTAAGAGAGGTACCAATAGAGGCGACGGGCATCATGCTGTCTTCACTGACGGAGTCCTCGATTAAGCAATATGACTCTTGTCTCAAAAAATGGTGGAAATTCTGTAAAGACAATAACGTTAATCCGTTTAAAGGAACATTAACAGAGGTCCTAAAATTTTTAACAGAAGAGTTCCAAGAAGGTAGAGCCTCTTATGGTACACTCAACAGTTGTAGATCTGCAATAGCCTTATTACGGGGTCCAGAAGTGGGAGAAGATGCGAGAATGAAGAGATTTTTTAAGGGAGTCGGAAAGTTGCGACCCAGTATGCCAAAATATGATACAACGTGGGATCCTAAAATGGTATTGGATCATGTGAGTAGCTGGGGTGCCAATAATGATATGACATTAGAAAAATTATCTTTAAAATTGGTAACGCTGCTCGCTCTCACTACTGGACAACGTATGCAAACACTTGAACTAATAAATATAAAAAACATTCATAGATTAGAAGATGTTATTGAAATTAGGATTCCCGACAGGATTAAGACTTCAAAGCTTAATAAACCGCAACCAGTATTAATTGTTCCGTTTTATCGCGGTAATTTGAATTTATGCGTTGCTTCTACGTTGGAAATATATCTTAAAAAGACAGAGGATTTACGGAGATTAGAAACAAAATTGTTTATTTCGTTTAAAAAACCATTCAAGTCGGTATCTAGCCAGACCTTAAGTCGCTGGATTAAAAATACTCTTAATAGTAGTGGAGTGGACACGAATATATTCAGCGCATATAGTACCCGCCATGCCTCAACGTCAGCCGCTAAGCGAAGTGGCGTAAATATAGACGCGATTAAAAAGGCAGCGGGATGGTCGGAGAAGTCAGAGACATTTGCACGATTTTATAATCGAAATATAAGTTCATCTAAGGATGCTTTTGCCAAAGCTATCCTCAATATTGCAAGTTAATTTTATAAAATTTTTAGTTATGTAATACTCTTTATTTAAAAAAGTGTATACGCTAAATGTGATAAAAATACATATAATTTTGTTTATTTCACGAAATCTCAGGCATAATCTTTCTGCCGTAACAACTTTAAACATCTACATATGATCTCGAGGAAGAGGCGCGAAATACAATTAAATGATTAAACGAACTTACCTGTAAGTGAAGTTCTATCATAA